GAACACGAGCTTATTTCAAACAAACTAAATTTTAAACGAACCGAACACGAACACAAGCTTTGTTCGTTCGTTTTCGGTTCGTTTACACCCCTAGCGAGGACTGCAAACTACGTAACCAAACCTCGTATCAGGAATGAAAGACGACGACGTCGTGCAAGCTGTCTGCAAACGCCGACGAGGCAATCGGAAAAGGAGAAGGCTGAATGTGAAGCCGTTCGTCGTCGAGCACGATGAAATCGTTCGTCATGGAAAACGATGAAGTCGACGGAGTGAAGAGACGAAAGATTCAAAGACGGGAATCGACATCAGGCAAAAAACCTAGCAGAACTGCACGCCGACGACCCATGATATTATATATATATATGAAATGCTATGAATAAAATATTAAAAATTTTAACTGCTGCTTTGTTGCAATTTGCTGACACTGCATAGGGATTTGGGCCATCAACCCCCTGCCCCTTTGTTTGACAACTCCGAGTGCTAAAATCTGTCATGCATTTTTTACATTATTATACAGTGTGACGGTACCGAACATTTTTATTAATAGAAAGGAGCTAAAATACTTAATACTTTGAAGCTGGTTTAGTCTTTTGTTTAACCTTTTCTAATCAATTTTGTAATGTTTTTTTTTCAGCTTCAAAACTTTTTTGCTGAGAGTTGCTTTATGTTTAGCTTGACCCTTTTTTGTTTTTGATCCAGCTTTTTTACCAATACGCTTATTCTACCTGTTGTTAATGGGCCAACGGAAGGCCTTATGCTGATCTATGTCTGCCATTTTCTCACATTTTTTATGGGTGAGTGATGCCCATAGAATCTTTAAGATATTTATCAGCTTAGATGTTTAGGACTAAGATAAACTTCCTCTTGTGGTTGCAGGTGCTGAATGGTGGGCACAAGACTTCAGGAAATCACTTCCCTTTTTGAGTTGGATACCATTTCTGCCTGGTAATTTACATAAAGTAGATTTGTAACTCTTGTAAAAACAACATTTAATGCGAAGAACTGGATATTTTTTTATTCACGATGATGTGAATATAATGTTTTAGTTTTGGAAAAAAATGCTTGTCGAATTTGGACATCGTGAAGTCTATCATGTGCTTTGACTTCTGTGCTGTGCATTGCATGCTGTTTACAGCACTTGATGGGTAACTGGCATGTCATTTGTGGTGGTGTTGGAGGGATTAGATTCAAATACTTCGTTCGGTGTAACTATTCATTGGAAAATTTGTTTGTTTGAGGTGATGATTCTAATCTCTGGTGATTCCCTAGCAAGCAAAAATAAGATAGCTAGAAGAATATAGCATTGAAACTACTGCTCCATGCACATTTGGTCCATCTGGATGACCAACATAAAGTACTAGTGGAGATGGCATGCTATGAAACAGTATTTGCCTTAAATATCCCTCATTTTTGGTCAACTCCCTCTCTCTTGGCTCTTGCCTCTTGGCCAATTCTATCTAGATTTAAGATCCCTTCCTAATACCCCTTGATGGCTAGGTTAGTCCTGACATAGTCAAGTTGACTTCGATCAGGTTCGGCTGGCACTTGCTTGTCCTGGTTGTTCTTGGTCTTGCTGAGTTGAACCTAGGTTGACTTGGGTGTGCTTCAGTTGACTGTGATGGGCTTGGGCTTGATTAAAATTAAAATTCATCCTAATTTAAGTCTAGTTAAATGAACCCAACTTTGAGATTAAATTTTAAACAGACTTCAACTTATTTAAAATCAAGTTAACAAAAATATAAGTTTAAATTCAAACACGAATTAAATCTAAAATTAAAATCAAACTTAACCTTAAATCAAATTTGAATTCAATTCAAACTAGATTAACATATATTTATATGTAAAACTATACTCAAACAAACTAAATTAAACTTAAATGCAAGAATTTATAATTAATCCCAATCCATAACTAATTGTAATTAAACTCAAACTCAGTAAATCTAAATTTAATTCAAAATAATCTATTTAAATTTAAACCTAAAACCTAAACTAAATTATAAACTTATCAAAACCAAATTTAAAGCACGACCTAATAGAAATTAAAATATAACCAATAACCTAACTTAAACTCAGTCCTAAATAAAACTAAAATTAAACTATTAATTTAAAATAAAATAAAATTGAATTAAAATTAAACACTTAACCTAAGCTAAATCTATCAAAATTAAATTAAAGTATAATTCTAAATGAAAGTCTAAACTAAATATAAAATTAAACTAAATTAAAATTTAAGTACGAATTAAAGCATAAATCTTATATGAACATTAAAAATTAAATTAAACTAAAAAAATAAAACATTAACTTAAATAAAAAATTTAAAAAGTTTTACATACCACTCTTCCTATGTGTAAACAAATAAGGCTCCATTTGAAGGAGCTTTGCTATTCGGTGAAGCTCCTTCAAAAGTCCCATGGAGGAACGGGGCTCCTCCGGAGTATTATGAAACGGCAACATTTTCACGTTCTTCCAATTCGACGTTCGGAGATGTTCTGAAAACGTTCGATTGCCAACCGTCTCTTTATTCGGAGGCGGCGTTGAGTGCGATCAAACAGAAGTCGGTAGCCTTCTCAAACGGAGCCTAAATGCATATGAATTTGGTGGTATGTGTGTGAAATGGTCAAATCTCTTTATTACAATTACCATCCCTCTGCTGAAACCCACCTACTCCCGCTCCTCTAAAGTTTGCAAAACAACTCTCATCCTCTCCCATTAGCATCTCTCACAAGCAGGAGGCTGAAGTCCTAGCTCTTCCTCTCCTCGTCTTGATTGTAGCTCTAATCAAACAAAGTGATGGCCAAAATCTCCCATCACAATTTCTTTCTCGGTTTCTCTAGCAAGGGCAGCAGCAGCTACAGGAACCATGCAAAGTTTTTAATCCCAAAGAGCACGCCACCCCTTCTTCTTTATCTTCTCAAGCAGCCCTCCTGCAAAATGGCAAGCCAAATCCTCTTTTTTCCCTCTTGATTCCATCCAGAGCAACCAAGGAATGCAGCTGAGAGTTTCCCATTTCCCTCTGATTCGGTTCAAATAGTCATTTGAATGGTTACTCATGGTATTTCACTTGTATTTGATTTTATGTCTTAATTTTTAAGTGAATTAATTTTATTTAGTTTTGTGTTAAGTTCTTTCATTTTGTCAGAAGTTATGTCTAGCCTTGCTGAATTTTCACTTAAACATTGTTGAAATCTGCTGAAACATCACCAAAATTTCCCTTGAATGCTGCCTAAATATTGTCAAAATCTGGTTCATATGCTGTCACTAAATCAGCCATGGAACTCTACTCAAAACTTGAAAAATTTCAGCCACAAAACAGCCATGAAACTCCATGAAAACATCTGCGTAGATGCAGCGACAAAATAGCCCTTTATGCCATTCCAAATCCTGCTCAAGCCCTGGTCCAATTCAACCACGGAACAGTACACAAATTTGCTGAGAATCTGCACGATTTCAACCACCAAAATCTGCATCAAATCTCGCTCAAAATCTTCTCCAATTCAGTCACCAAACAATCCGCATCGTGCCAAAAAAAATCCTGTTTAAATTCAGCCATCAAGCATTCTTTTAACTTGCATAAAATCTGCTTGATTTCTGCCCCCAAATCTGCATAATTTGCTGAGTATCTGCTCAATTTTAGCCATTAAACTTTGTGTATACTTAAGTCATTTCATTTCAGCCAGTAACATGCCATGCAGTTCACTTATGAGCTGCTCAAATTTGGCAACCAAACATATTCCAAAAGATTTGACATTTACATACATATTTCTTGACTCCCATGTATTCATATATTTAACACCTAAATGTTACATTTTTGTGGTAGAAATGTAAAATGGAAATTTTAGGTGTTAGATGAATAAATGTTCAAGTTTGATCTAGTCTGTTGACCCATTTAATCTCTTGACCGAGTTCAAGTTGACCTGAAAACTCGAACATGGCTTGAAAACGCAATCGTGACCCAAAAAATGTATTTCACATGAACCAAAGTATGTTAAACATTGCATTTTCGGGTTAGTTAATTTGAAGGTGAGTCAGTTTCGGCTCATGTAGGTTTGGTTCTAATGTTTGTCAGGCTTCAATTTAGGCATTGTAAATGTGTGCTTTTGTTCTTTTTGGGGGAAGGATACTTCCGCTTACATCATCATTTTATCATTAAGTTTGTTTTCTAAGTATTTTTCATGTTATAATTATTTGTAATTTCCTTATGTTGTACTTATTTTGTTAATTTGTTCTAAAATTACTATTTGAAAAATAGATACTTATCAATTTTGAAGATATCAACACTTAACAGCATTAAGTTAGAAAAATATGAAAGCTTGTTGTTAGTTTTCTTAATCCTTTTGAACATAATTTCTGTGAAATTTCCCTGAATTTGTACATCATGATTTTTTGGTTATAATCTTATAGATTACATTTTGATGAAAATTATCAGTTTTCTAATAGATTCATGAAAAACAGTTTAGATTGACTTTAAAATCTTCCTGGCATTGGCATGGAAAATTGTTTTTAATATTTCATGTTGAGTGGTGATCTAAAACTTGATCTGGGATGTAAATGAAAAAGAAAAAAACTAGATACTTTATGGCTTACAATGCAATTAAAGAAAAATACGAAGGCATTGATTGAATTTTTTTTCTCTATAGCATCTCAAACTATTTGTAGTAATCATGTGTTTTTTTCTATGTTTCTTTTAGTGCCTTCCTTGTTTTTAATTATCTTACTTTTTTGTTTCCTTCAGCTCTTCATTTTACCTTGTTTGTATCACAAAGTTTAAAATGATTTTTTAAAATTTCACGGACGTATACTTTAAAACAAAATGTAAAAGAAATTTTGAAAATTCCAGAAAAAAATGTTTATTGGTTTAATATAGAAGTTTTTATTGCCCATTTATATCGTGCCTGCCAATGGGTGAATAATGTATTTAAGCTTGAGTCCTTCGATTTAAATAATGGTTTTATTAAAGAACAAGGGAACATTTGATTATTTTGGTGCTTGCCTTTGACTTTTCCAACTATTTTGTATATCCTAAGTGATGGTTTTACATTTATTATTAATTATTAGGTTCTATTATCAAATAATAACAAATTGAATTCCAAATAACATTTATTTGTAAATGGTATGTGATCGCATTCTTTTGTAGCTTCAAGGTGCGCCCCCTCTCTAACTATTCTTTGGTCCCCTCTCTGCCTATTCTTTGGTCAAAAGGTGCCATCCTGAGGCATGAGTGAATCCAAGCCCACAATAGTTTAGTAAAACTTCATAATTTGTGTCATATCCACTGGCTTAAACTAAGCATCTCTGTTTTTAATCTTTCTTGAGAGGAATTACAAATTTTATTATTGCTTTCCTTTGGATGAATTATTTGTTGTCAAACATTTTATAATTTCCTTTAAATTTTGAGCTATTTCTTCTCTATTTTTAAATAATGCTTACTCTTTAATGTTCTTATGGTTTCATATTATTTTAGTTTTTTTTTTGTGTTAATCAGAGATTCGTTATTTTTTTTCTAACCAGAGATTCCTTTCTATGACGTGGTGCTGTTTTTGATGATCGTTTTTGCTGTAATTCCTACTGTTGGATCAAAGTAAGTGTATTATCGTACTATCAGCAATAGACAGAGCAGTCCGTATAGTGTTGCTGTCACATCCTTTCTTTTTTTTTTAAAAAAAAATTCTCTTGCTTTAATTTATATTATTTATCATTTTTATTTATGCCATTTGACCTGTTGTGCTCATCTGACTAAACAAATTCAGCAAATACAACAAGAAAAGTGGATGATAAAAATTGAATCTGTACAACTTTAACAAGTAGATAAGGTTTCTAGTAATGCTTGATGGCGCCAGCTCACTACTACACATCTCAGATAGGAAATGAATGCGCAGCCAAAACTTTTAGGTGCCGATTAGGATTATTTTTGTTTTTTATTTTTATTTTTTAATTTTTAATTTTAATGTTGTTTTGTATATATTTTGATCTGAAATAAAATATGTTTGGGTATTAGATTGAACTATAATTATTTTTAAAAACAATCAAAATATTTATAATTTGTTTTGAGTGTCTCAAAAATATGTTATTTTGTTTTTAGAAATAAAAAATATATAAAAATTACACTAAAAAAACATGTTTTTATAAATAAAAGAAAAAAAAATGATCCCAAACAAGCCCTTAGTATTTTCAGTAACATCTTGGGTGTCAAGACTGCCATGCAAGCCTCTTATGCTTTTAAATTTGGGCTTCAGATACAATTTTTTATTTCTGAAATGTATAGACTAGTTAATCTAGTTCACAATGCTGCAATATTTAATTGGTAAACCGTGCAAATGAACAAAAGGCCTTAATAGAATGCCTGCTGGTGATCTCTAGTGGTTGGTATTATCAAAACGGTGAATAAATGCTAGTGCATTTATTTGAATTTTTAGTGATCAACATTTTTACTTCTTTATCTACATAATTGAGGCTTTTTGGTAGAGGTGGGAGCACATGCAATTTTTGTGATTAATGCTGAGGGTTATTTATTGCGACCATTTAGACTTGGCTCAACCCTTTTTTTTTAAAAAAAAATATGACCAGGCTTACGTTTTATTATCCTAGGGTGAGGCATATGACATGAGCTGCACCTCAGCTCAAAATTTGAGGTTGTCAGATTTTTTTTATTACAAATATTAAAGATATGCCTCACACACTAGGCCTGTCTTTCTCCCCAAACTCTTGTGCATGAAAGACAGTTGCAAGCCGAGCTCCCTGCTCTTTGTAGTCACAGGTGTGATGGCTTTCATGTCGCCATTGTTGTTGTCGACCTCTGCCACTGTTGTTGTTGCCTTTTCCTTGTCAAAATATTTTGCAAGGAGCGCCTTAAGGCCTTAATTAGAAGTTTGTTAAAATATTTTAATTATTATTTGACTAAAAAGCTTTTAGTTTAAAACTTTAAATATAATATTTTTTTATATTAAAAATTGTTTACTTATATATAATAATATTTAGCTTGCTTGAGGCGTTTAATTTGTAGATAATAATATTGTCCGTGGAAGACGCCAAATTGATGGAGGGAGGGATTTTTTATTTTGTTCAGACGTTGATATGCTTGATGCTTAATATGTTTGGATGAGATATTTACTCTTCACATTTTAAAATTTGTACAATAGGGAGGGAGGTATTTTTTTTTTTTTAGGATGTTGATATGCTTAATGCTTAATGCTTAATGTGTAAAACTTGAACAATGCTGAATTAATAATAGTTGATTAAGCAGGATGTTGATTCATTAGGTGTGCCTGTCTTTCTCATCTGCCACTTTTGTTGCTGTAAAAAATTGCAGAACAATGCTGCTTAATGCTCCCTGCTACAGTTAAAATAATAAATAAATTGAATAACGCAATTCAAAATACAGTCTCGGATTCCATTATTAATCATAAATTGAAATATATTACAAATTTTTTTATTTATTTTGCATATTTTTATATTATTGCATAACAAATTTTATTCGGAACCAAATCAAAAATTTCTTTTTCAATATACGGTATGTTACAATCATTAAGTCAGTCATCACACATTCGACTGTGTAATCAATTTTTTACAGTTTTCATTGCAAAGAATGCTCTTTCAACTGTAGCAGTACCAATTGGTAAAGTTAATGCTAAGATAATAAGTCTATTAACTAAAGGACACACATTATCATTCTTTGTTTGAACCAACTGTTTCTTGGAGATGAGAAATTAACACTACTGTGTATATCAATAATATAAGTAGATAGTTGATACTTAAGCACCACAAGCTCAATAATCGAAAAATCATTTGGATATAATTTTGCAAGACGGATAAATTTCCTCTTATAAAAAAATCAAGAATAAATCACTTGGGTTTAAACATGCCACACAAAGAAGTAGCACAATACTTGCTTTAGAGAAATAATTGTTCAACCTCTTGAAGTTGCATGTCGACCACAATATAAAATAATTCAACATGATAATAATGTAAATCTGTCATTTTCTCACCTTTATGTGTTGACCGACAATTAGTTTTGAAAATGCATTTTATATCTGGAATATCAATATAAAAAACATGACAAAAACGAGACACTTCATCTAATAAAAAATTCCAGCCATTCTCCCTCATCATCTGTAATTGTTGTTTAGACACTTGCACTAATTTCATTGCATTCTCAATATCCTAATCTTTTAATTATAGGGATTGTGATAATTTATTTGTAATACCTAAAATATCAATCATTGAATGCATTGTAAAGATAAAGTCAAAAGATTCCATTGCACTGATTAAAACACCAGCCTGAACTGATTGTTGATTATGCACCCAATCCTCCTTTAGATAAATAGAAACTTCGATCAGAGAACCAATATTGATTGCCACATAATGTTGAATATGCTACTAAAACAATACAAAATAATTAACTTGAAAAATATATGGCCAATAATGATTTATCCACTTTTGTTTGAAAATTTCCTTGATGCCTAAAATACATCCTCCTCTTTTTCCAAAAAAAAAAAAAAAAAATTCTCATCAAATACTAAGTCATAATATGATTAAATCCAAAATATAGAAGTGCATCAAAAGAAATATCGAAAGTTCTTTGTTTGCTCCCAAAAATAAAATCAGAAGCAGTTAACTGTGATGAACTGATGCCTTTTCAAATTTGGAACTACTTGAGTGGCATCTTTTTTGAGCCTACAAAAACTGAAATAAATACAATTATAATTAAGAACGTTATTCCTCAAGTCATGTAGAATATGATAAGCATTGATTCATATACGATTCAAAGCTTTTAAAAAAATAAATTTTGTTGATTATGAAATTAATTGGAATGTCACATTATAAAATATGCAATAAGCCAATAACTATATTACTAGCTCAAATCAATTTTTAAAAGGGCTAGTAAGAGTTAATGGTTAACTAGTTTTTAAATATACCTCAAGGCTTAATTTTGGAAGGCAAACTACAAGAAGACGGAAAGTGTTATCTCTGAAAAATTCTTTAGTCAATTGTGCACATATGCTTCGGGCACCGGTTCAGCTTCATTGTTCCCATATAACAAAGATTTCAACTTCTAGAATATTTTACAAAGCTCAGCCATCTGTAGCGTTAAGGATATCCGGAATAATAATAATAACATCAACCAAAACTAACAAAGAAGTGGTAGAAACTGATGCACTATGCCATTTGCCATTCAATTGATGTTGATCAAAATCGATAAAATATTATTTAATGTATTTGTGTTTAAATTTATTAGTAATTATCATTTTTGTGAGGCACGCATGCAAAAATGAAAGTTTAGGAGTCTGATATGTAAATATATAGAAATTGCCACTTAATTTCTTGTAGAATCACCCTTGCCATTTAACCCTTCTAACTGTGTAGGTCAATTTGGTTGGTGCTATAACAGCCACAAGCCAACAACCTTTAGCTTCAGACCAATATCATACATTAGACAATAAAGAAGAAAAAAAATCCCTATAAATTTATGGAGCCGTTAACACATTCAGGCTTTATAGTTGCATAAATCTATGCTTCTTCGGTTTCCCTTGGCACTCCCACATCCTGTTTCCCTAGCCCATGGGATGGAGGGAGGGAGGAATTTTTTATTTTCTTAGGATATTGATATGCTTAATGCTTAATATTTGGGATTAACTATTTACTCCAGATTTTAAAATCTGTACAATACTTATTCCTCTATATAATTTTTAAATTTTTGATGCTTAAGCCTTACCTCGTAGATGAAAATACCTCAACATCCAATTGCATAATTTTAAATCTTGCTTATGACCCATGATTTTTTATGCTGCACCATCTTGGATTGCAAATAGGAGTCAATAAAAACATGAGGGCTTAAAAATAAATCATTGAAGTTATCGCACAAGCTTCTGCTATTCCACTCTTGTATCAATCCATGCAATAAAAATCAACTTCTGGATAATGCATCATGCTTTTGTTGAATAATAATAATTATAATAGTAGTTATAATAATGATAATATAGGCATGAGCAAGCTTCAAACTAAGTCGAGGTACTTCAACGTTCAACACTGAGGTTATGGAGTTAGTCTACAAATTTCTTCATATAGTTTTCTCTGTTGAGATCTGTAAGTGTTGACAAAATTGGCCTCAATTGAAATACAGAATAAGAAATTATAGGATCCATGCTAAACCAGGGTAAATATGTTTTGCGGATTCATGTGCTAAATAAGGGAAAATGTGTTGTGTATTCTTGTGCTTGACATGGAGGATGATAGGAAGTATTCCCTTCTCCCACTCGTCTAGGATAGGGGAAGTTTTAGACAGCAATCCTAATTTTTTTAATTATTTTGTAATTAGTAAATTCTATTTTTTTAAGGTAGTTTTGCATTTAAATATTCATTGGGGAGTGAACAAAACAGTTTTTTCTAATCACTTCCTTCTATCTATGATCTCCATCACTAATTATCATGTATAAATCATGGAAGGATAAAGTTGTCAAATTTAAAAGTAGAAAAACATGTCTGCTGACTAGATGCATTGATAATACCATTCACCTATGTATAAATAAACAACCCCATATGTTTGTAAATGCATAATCACAATGCTACACCAATTATGAACCCAAGGATCAATCAATCAGTGATGCTGGCAACCTCAGCTACTCAATCTCTTGAATACTCTGTATACATTCTCAGTTGCTCTCCTTTCGTTTGATTTGTTCTTCTATCTGTCAAGATGGAAACCAATCCCTTCAAAATTGTTGTCAGGGATCAACATCATAGATGGAGTTTTGCTCACAACCACCAAGGGAAAAACACTTGACAAGGTCACTTCATTGTCCTCATCATGCTAACATCTGATACACATGCAATACATGTGTGATCTACTCAAAATATTTATAACAACACAAGGCATATTCACTATGTCTATAAATGCACGGAACTATTATATCCAAATAAACTGTTATACAATTATCCTGTCCAAGGCATCAACGAATGATCCAACGCTTTTGAATCTTCAAAATCTAAGAAATTTTATTAATCTAAATCTAGAATTCAATGCAAGGTTAATCATGGAAAAGGGAATGATCTTTTATTCAATGGCAGTCACCTCAAAAGTTATGCTCAATTTTCTGCAATAGTATTTTTCTCACGCTCTTATCTTCTCTTTGAAATCGTCAATTTTGTATCTCAAACCCTTGGCAACTTCCAAAGTAAATTTAAAATTCTAGTGTTTCTATTTCTTCCTATTTATGTATTATAAATTCAACAAATTAATTAAAAATTTTCTTTAAAGTATTTCCAAATTAAGTAGCTAAATCACATTTGTTTTACAAAGCCACAAAGACAGGTTTGTAATACAAAGGAGATAATACTTGTATGAAAGCAAGAACAAAAACATCCATTGTTAGAAATGATACGAAGGATTTTTTTTAATTATGCATACCATCAATTTCTGCTCCTAATAAGAATAGGTGCAGGCTGAGGATATATAAAAATACCACCATATTGTTCTTTTGATGAAATGATAGGGTGTTTTATGTTTGTGCCTTAACCTGTAATAGTTACATAGATGTGTACCCCCTTCTGTAGCTTATTTTATATTATATTCATGATGAGTGCTAGTTTCGTTTATTGATGATTGGAAATAGGACAGTGCAGCAAAAAGATTTTACTTATCATCTACCATTTTTGAATTATGCTCGATATTTTATGACATTGTCTGTTTTTAAGAATTTAAAATTAGAGAGAATCGTTTTAGATGGTTTGATCACATTAAACGTCAATCATATGATGATCCAGTTAGGAAAGTATATATTTTAGAATCGACTTATGTTAAGAAAAGTAGACACAAACCTAAAAAGATTTGGGCATATTATATAAAAAAATATTTTAATTTATTAGAATTAAATGAAAATATGACACTCAATAGGACACTGATTAAATGAAAATATGACACTCAATAGGACACAAGAAAGGAAAAGGATTCATGTAGTCGACCCCACTTAGTGGGATAAATGCTTCTTGTATTGTTGTTGTTATGGTTCTAATATTTCTTTATGCATTCCCGTTTTTAATTATCACTATCATGTCTTAACCCAACTACTTTGGGTTGGCACTTTGAAATCTTATTCTCTATTTACTCATACTAAGTGTTGTATAAAATGTTATTACTAATTTAGTGCAACATGTTTACTTACATTGTAACCATTTAATTTCATAATTATTTGAAATTGATTCGTTGTATCAATATATTCTATAAACCTTGGTCTAGGTCTATATCTTATCTTCTATATTTACTACTATTTTTTTCTATCTAACATAATCATTTCATCTATTTTCTTCCTATTAATGATTATCCATCTTATCATTTTCATTTCTAATAAACTTATTTGCCAATAATATTGACTAATTATTGCAATTTACAGTCATTAAAGCTACATACCATACGGTTGTTTTTTTTTTTACTTTTCTCAGGTTTTTTATTTTAATTTTTTTCTATTATTTTTCTTCGTAGGCATCTTTATAAATAATACTAAAGATATGTATCTAATATTGATTCTTAACGCAATCCTATTATTATTGGAAATTTTTTGGTCAATCCACACTTACTTTAATGCCAATTAATTTTTCATTATGCATATCTTAAATAATTTTAAGATTCCTTTGACGTAAACTTTTTTTCATGATATAAATCAAAGTGTCTATCATGATCAATGAAAATCATTATTTGTTATTTTTTTATATTTTTATCTTCAGTTGTCTTGGTTCAATTAGAAATAACCTAAATATTTATTCCTGATTGAGAATTAAGAAAATAAAAAGCTTCTCAACAATTAACCATAAAATTAATTATAATTTTGAATTTAAATTACTTATATTCAACATTCAAACACTTTAACCCATATCATGGCCTTTACTGCACAACTAACAACATAATTCAGTTTCTGTTCTTTTTGTACTAGGATGAGTTTAATTTTATTGCATGAATCTTTGATTTCACTCATCACGAGGAGTAGCTCAATAAAACTAAATTTAGATGACAAATACAACTAAAATATTATGCATAATATAATTTTATTATGTAGTTGTATTTGTCTTCTAAATTTAGTTTTATTATTTAATAGTTAAGTTGTGCTGAGAGATGCCATACGATGTGTGAAATTGATGACATTTGTAATTAAATTAGCCCCATGTTGATACAAAACAACATAGAATTTTTTTTTATTGTGCTATTGTTTATTTTAAAATGATTATTTTATCCAGGATTTATATTTTTATTTTTTTAGACGTTCTTTCTTTACTAATTGATGTGAATGATTGATGCTACTTTATGCTATTCACAGTGTTAGCAATGTACAGAAGGTTGTTAAAGCTAGAAAAGGAAGCATGTTGCTCGCATTAGCAATGGTAATGTTGTTCAAAGTTAAAATAACTATCTGGCCTCTATATATGGAATTTTTTTCCTAATGATCCTGTTTTGGATACTCAGCTCTTTCCATTTACATTGCTATTAGCTGGTGTTCTTATTTGGTGCGTATCTATCTAAGGTTGTTTCTTTTGATTATATGTTATTGTGGGTTTTTTTGTAAGATAGGCAATTACATTTTTACTCAGGTGCTACCTTTCTCCTTCTGACGTAATGGGAAATTATCCGCACTTGCTTATCACTGGAACCGGCATGGCATTTGGATACCTTGTGGTAAGATTGATCTATTTTTTTACCATTTAATTACATTCTCATCTTTCTTTTTTGCTTCAATTGTTTGATAGTTCCATCAAAATACAAGCTTTTAATACATGAAGATTTACATAGACACTATTCAATTCTTATGTATTAACATATTTAGCACTTAAATTTAAGTTTTTGGATACATGCCACTTTAAAGAATATTTCCTTTTTAAAAGTTAAAATAGTGGTATTTTTGGTGTGATATGACAGATTTGGATGATATAAATTTAGAAATTAAAGTTTAGGTTTTAGACATGTGAATAGATAAGAATTGGGTGTTATGTATGTAAATGCCACACGTACTTTGTGAGAAGAAAGTTCACAATCAGGAATAAATAACATGAAGTGAATATAGTGATATGAGTCAATACTATTAGTATTGGTATACCGCTGAAAGGGAATACAAAAATAAACGTAAATTGAATTATCTTGCTAGTTGTACGGTAAAGGCCTTGATATGGGTTAAAGTGTTTGAATCTTGAATACATGTAAATTGAAATTCAAAAGTATAATTAATTTCATGGTTAATTTGTGAGAAGTTTTTATTTTCTTAATTCTCAAATTGGGAATAAATATTCTGAAATAATATTATTGATATGTGTCAGTACTTGTGAAACACAAACACCAACACGACAAGGTATGATACAACGAGACGGCATAATTGTAAAAAGTAGGACTGACGTGAACATATTTTTTTTATATTTAATAAATTATTAATATAGATATATATTTTTAACATTTTCTACTAAAGACATCATAAAATAAAATATGCATACATTTAGGAAACTTTATAATGATAAATCCAAATTACATGATTTATTAAATTTTATTTGTTAAATCATGGGTGCAACCATATACCACCTAAAATTGAAAATCTTATAATAATTAAAGGAATCCTTCCAAATAAAAGAAAAAAGAAACAAACCTTCACCGTGCTTGGTTCAACTATCAAAGAGGTGGGAACCTTGGAACGTTGGGCTGGATCGCGATGACGACGAGATTGCTTCGATTAGAGTTATTCGACGACCTCATCGCTCGCTTCAACTTGCCCAGTTTCAATCGATGACCTCATTGTGCAGCTTTGACGTAGGCTGGGTTGACGTAGGGCTTCGATGGCGACTGTGGACCACTCGAGAATGTTGTAGAGGTATCGAGGACTGCTAGAGAATGTTGTGTCGAGTGGTGCCGAGCCGCGCCATCTGCAGTTTCAAATGCCAGTTAAGTCTCCAATATGTTTTAAGGTGTGTCAGATACTTATCTATTTGTGTTGAACACTTGTCCATTTCTTACATGTGTCAAACACGGGTATGACATCTGTTTTGAGGTGTCAATGCTTCCCAGGTCAGTAGTAATAGTGCTGATTACCCTATTTTGTAGATGAAGGAAAGCATTCATTGAATTATGTTATTAGTTATACTGTAAAGGCTCGTTAAGAGCTGAAAGTGTTTAGTGTCGATTAATAAATTGAAATTTAAGCTGATTCAAATTCAAATTTACAGTTCCTTTCATGTCATTTTAGTCAGTTAATAAAAAAAGCAAATTAATTAAATTTTTATATATTAACTAATTAAATTGGAAATTGAATGTTAACATTACATAATATATAATGTGATAGTTTAGTAATAAGTAAATAATTGTATTTTTAAATAAAATAACTGTGATTTCTATTTGATAGTTATTTATCTGTATATTTGAACTCATTTTAAAAAAATAATGGCATATGTGATGTAACAATTAAATAATAACTAAATGTTTAATGTTTTCAAAATAAAGTGTCACATGTTATGTTATGGTTTGCTATTTAATATATTCAAATTTATAAGTAATTTTGTATTTAATGTGACAATTTATTTGCGTTTTTTAAAAGGAAGTGTCATATAATTTTTACTCATCAAATATATTTGAATTCAAATTAAAAATTTTGCCATGCTAATTCATAAAATTTGTCATTTGCCACCTTATGGAGTCATGAATACTTTAGATCCAAATATACTGGACAGAAATAACCTTATTTTTTGAGAATCCCTCTTGTTATAATATTTTGATGGTTGAAGGGTTGTAAGCTAATATTCTATTTGGACTGAAATAATTTGCATAGCAACTTAACTGACACAGCACATCTTTCTTATTGAATGCACGAGATTCTTCTGCTTGATTAACTTCTATGCATTTTGAGTGGCTATTACATGCAAGTTAAGTAGCCACAAGGTCAGACAAACCCTCTTTTAAACTGTTATTTATAGTTTACCCTTTCAATTTCTCCCGAGTCTTGATTCAATTGTGGACTTGTGTATCAAAGAGCAACGTCAGCTTGATTGTTGGCGGAGTGAACTTCGCTTTCTTACATTTATATCAAAGACCACTATTTTGATTTTAAATGGTGAAATATACATTTTCATGCATAGCTAAGGTGGCACATATGTAAAAATTGAAGTTTAGGTGTAGATGTGTAAATAAATTATAATTGAGTGGTATGTATGCAAATCTTCCTAACGAATTTTGTATGGTAATCACACAAAAATATTTCCTTTTTCCTGGGATATGATTCTTTATGTTTGTTCTCTAGCAATTACTAAAATAAATGCAAACGCGGTTTGAAGGTTCTAAGGTGGATCCTTGATGAGCCGAACATGAGCGAGCCCAGGCTCGGCTCTTTAAAAAATACCATTGTTCGTGTTCGACTCGTTTATATTTCAAACAAAAAAACTTTGTGTTTTGCTCGTTTGCTTAGAGAGCTGAACACGAGCTTTTCGCGAACAAAGAGTCATTTCGACAACCATTGTCGTCCATGCAGTCGTTTAGGGTGTAAACAAGTCAAGCTTGAGCGAGCCCAAGTTCGGCTTGTTAAAAAATATCTTTTTCCATATGAAACAAACCGAGCAATGTCATGCTCCCACCCAAAACAATCAGAAGGTCTCGTATTATTATGAGAGATCCTTTTTAAAGTTATGGGTAGGAAGTAGACAAGAGAGGAATCATCACCTGTGAATTCTATATGACGTGGATGGTGTAGGTGTCTCAGGAGTTGGGATAGATCGAGATAAGAAAGTTGTTGGCAAGAGTGGCCCTACAACACAGTTCCCTAATTTTGCTTCCGCCTTGTATACATTGTCAGCTCCCTCAACCGATTCATCTCACATAACATGATAAGATATCACTCCCACATGCACTAATCTCTCACCATTACTCACCCCATCTTGCCCCATACCTCTAGTATCTAGTGAGTCACTAAATGATGAGTTCACCTCTAGGGCAAAGTAGAGTTCAAGTTCTCTGAATGATACATTCATGCTCACAAATAGTCTCTTCTCTATCAGAATCCAACAAGAGTACCCCTTCTGGGCAGCAGAATAACCCACAAGAAAATACTTTAAAGTGCTGAGATTTAGTTTCTCTATTGATGGTTTGTTGTTATTCACAAAACATACACAATCAAATACTTTTAATAAGAGGATCCTGCCAATGTTTCTTTTCAACATATGACAAAGAGATTTTCAATGCAACACTTTTGAGAGCATTCTGTTGATCAATTGAACAACCATCAAAACTGCTTGCCTCCACAAGTGCGTTGGGAAATTCATAATTATCATCATGCTTTGTTATTGTTTTATGTCGGTGTGTACAAACATGTGATTTGATACTGTATTTCTTGAGCTGACAAGTATTTCCAAAATACCTTGTTATATTCCGTCCCATTATCAAACCTCGATACCTTCACTACTGCACTATATTAACTTTGAGTTGTCTTGTGGAAATCTTTAAAGCAAGAAAATACACTACCTTTGTTTTTCATCAGATACAACCAAAAAACATGAGAAAAAAATTAACAAGTCACAAAATATCGACATCATTCATTGAACTCATAGAGCAAGCTCCCCAAAATCAGAATGTATTAAATATAAAAAAAACACATGAACTCGTATTCCCAGATCTGATATAAGAACTTCTAGTAAGTTTGCCAAACTCAAATGCATCACATACAAATTTTGTTTGTCTTTTGATATAAAGGTGGATACAAATGATTCTATGAACTAAAATAACAGTGTCTTCTATGTTTGTGATGTAGTAGTAACAAATCATCCACACTCCTTCCAGATCCCCTACTTCAACACTTTACCATGAATGTCAAAATCAAGTCCATCCCCTCTTTATCTATATACCAAAGTTTAATGTGCCATGTTTTCGTTCCAAGTGTTTGACCCGTCCCTTTCTCTTGAAAGAACACTTTAGAAATATCAAATGAAAAACACGTTTTTGTTGGAGAATAATGACATCGATGTATAAAAGGTGCACTGAAAAAGAATGAGCATGCAAAACATTGAATAAAGTCATATAATCGATACACATCACTGTACCATTACCAACTATATGTTTTATTGTACTATCAGCAATCTTGATAAGGGATTCTGGTGTATTGCCAGGTAGCTCCCTCTTCCACCTCTTCGACTCCCATGACCACGACCACTTGTCTCTCTCCTTAGGTGGCCTAAGACAGACCTTGCTTAGATGGTTTATTTCACCACAGTTGTAGCATTTGCGAGTCTCCCTCTGGACACCTATCATACCTGAGTTCGAGGCAACTAAAGTTGCTTGCATACTTAGAAGTTCACTCGACTTAGCGTGTAACCTCATGCGACTCTTGTCTTGTATCATCGCAGCGATGGCCTCACCCAATGAAGGGATCGTCACCTGGGCTATGAGGACTGATCTCCTCTGATCAAATGTCTGGTTCATATGAGCCGAAAACTGCATAGTTCTCATCTGTGCAAATACCTCTCTCTTCTTGGATCATCACAACTCAACATTGGTGAGAAGTGATCAAGATTTGTCTATGGAATACTCCCGAGTCGATTTGTCACTCTGTATCACTTCCTCTATCTCACGATGAATCTGAACTTCACGTGGTTCTCAACTCTAGCATAGATTTTCTTCAGCTCAGATATCCCTCATCTTTAGAATGTCATCTACAGATGATGCAATCGGCGAAACCATCGAGTTAAGTTGTCATATGTAGAGTAGGGCAAGTGTGGTCCTCCACTCATCTTCTCAACACTATCATCCTATGGCTCAATCTTGACTACCGTCATATGTTCCTCTAGTTTCTTTATTTCTAGAGCAACCTCGCTCCATTGAGACCAACTTAGATATATGGCTTGTCCATCAAGCTTCAGATCCGCAGAGGGAGATCTACTTTCACTTGTATTGGAGTATTTGTTGAGATAGTTGCTCCTGTCGAGCTATTAGACTCTTGTATGAGCCTGATCAAGACCTTCAGAAATTTAGGTTCTATCTTCTCCAAAAGTTCCAATCGTTTCCCTCCCACACTATTTCTGTCTCCTAAAATTTTCAATCACAAGGCTACAAGTCTAGATTGCACAAAAGAGAGAGTGAGGTAGCAACAAAAGTCTCACAACAGAGGCTCACTCGCTCGGGCAAGGCAAAATAAAGTCCTAATATATGCTTCACTGCTTCTTGCCAATACCCTCTCCTGCCTTCCTTTCCTTTCTTGTACTGCCCTTGGAAACGCAACTACAAGATTACATGATATGAAGATATTTGAAAGTTCCAGTTTCTTCTTCGCTCTATTCGTCGAAACTGGAATCGCAACCTGCTCCTTGGCTACCTCTGCACATTCGTGCGATGCAAGAGTCGCAAAAGCCCTAGCCTCATCTTTTCTCCAATCAAACGCGACCTCTCCTCCAACTGATTGCCCTTCTTCTACTCTAGTCATGTCCAACTGGCGAGGGGCAAGGACGGATTGCTGTGCACGAAGATTCCCGAAACTTCTGTGTTTGCAGGATCTAGCCGATGCCAGAATCCCTCATCGAAGCCTCCCTTCCACTCTGCGACAACATCGAGTAGTACTGTAGGAACCGCTAGGTTAGGGTTTAGCTCCGATACCATAAAGATATAATTGCTCTAAAAGACTTGGTTAATTTCATTAACGACGGGCTTTTATAGAGCCTGACTACTTATAAATCAAATTCTAGACATCATCTGTTTATAAATAGGATCTTAAATTATATACAAATCTTAACCATAAGCTTAAGATTTTTGGTTAAAATTTTTTTGGTCGCTCTTGAATCAAAATCGGAACTTTGATCCCCCTTTATTTATTGCTTGCTAATAATAAAGCTTAGAGATTCCCTCATCATCTTTGGCTTTATTTATTTATTTATTCATTTTAGTTTCGTACAAGCACCAGATATTTCTTCTTATTATTTTGTCCGTCAATTTTCTGGTTTTGTCATTAAAAGTCATTAAATTTCATACCACAACATAGTTTTAATTTTAGATCTTTCATCAAAATTGGTTTAAGCTGTGCACTTTGTAAGTGATGTCTAAGCCAACACTGCCTACTGCTCATGAAAGTCAGAACAGCTGCGGAGTTACTTGCAGGTGAGAAGAGGCAAGTGTTTATTTGAATTAGCATTAACATCAACCCTTACACAGTCTTAGGCTGGAAATGTGAGACGGCTGGGAATTTGAGAGAGAGATCTCAAAGTATAGATCTTGAGAATTCATGTAGACTTCTAATATCCTAAACTCTATTTCACGTCATTTCTTATCATATGCTTGAATCATGCACGCATGCATCATTGTTGAAAGCATTGCTCTTAATTTTTTAAGCATTTCATCCATAGTTCCATATGATAAAAACATTTGATAGTTTTCTTATTTTTATTTATTATTTTTTGGCAGGGGAGAATGATTCTAGCGCACTTGTGTGATGAGCCTAAAGGTTTGAAAACTGGGATGTGCATGGTATGCTCATTTCACATCCAACAACAATGGATTTCCTTTCCATTTATTTTGAACTTGTAAACAGGCAAAAACTTGTGTTGATTTAGTTTTTTTGTATTTTTTCCAGTCATTGCTCTTCCTTCCTCTCGCAATAGCCAACGCGCTTACTGCCTGGCTTAATGATGGGTATGATATCTTTGAGCCCATCTTTCTTTTTTTTTTCTTTTTTTTTTTTTTACTTGTGTTGTTTTTTAAGATATTCTAATATTTACATGTTAGTAACTTGCTTTCTACAATCTTTTTCTGTTTACAGAACGCCTCTTATTGACGAACTTGTCATTCTCCTTATGTATTGTGCATATACTGGTAGGTTACTGAATGATTGTTTTTTCAATTAATGCACAAAAGTGGAATTTCAAATCTTTTAATTGAGTTATTTTATGATATAATTTGCCGTTTGGTGAATGTTCAATTTAAAGGTCACATAATCAGTCTGTTTGTGAGATATAGGCTTGTTGTTTTTGTTGTTGTTGTGGTATAATTGGTCTGTTTGTCTTTATCTGTACCTTGAGAAATGGAGGGCATATCTTTTTAGTGATGTTTTTTTAGTTGATATGAGGCTAAAATAAAAATAAGCATATGGCATTATTTATGTATTTATTTATTTATTAGGTTGTGAACTCCATGTAAATGACGATTGATAAAATTCAGGTTGATACTTTAGTGACCTATATGCACATTCCTTAAATTGCATAATTTAGCTTAATAAATGCTTTGCAGGTAAACTAACGGATTAAATAAAAGGATGATTTACATGCATAACATTCAATTCCTATTCATTTAATCTAACACACACCTAAACTTGCAATTTATACATATGTGCCATTTTACTTTTGCATGGAGAGGTGTATTTCATTATTTTAAAGTTAAAATGGTGATATTTTTTATGTGATATGAAAGATTTAGGTGGTATAAATGTGAAAGTCAAAGTTTAGGTGTTAGATATGTGAATATATCGAATTCAGGTGGTATGTATGTCAATTTAAACATTTAAAATTGCTAATTATAAAGTGATTCTTTTTTATTTATACTTAGCCATTTACAACTTTATATTCTCCATGTGATCCACACGGTTGAGATCAGTACCTCCTAATCTGGATTAATTAAGTTATTATTAAAATTATTTCATTTGAATTTGCCACTTAGCTGGGCATGGCTGATCACATTTTTTACAATCTGGAACAGCTGGGCTCTACTTTCATTTCGCAACTTCAGTCATCCATGAAATCACAACTGCGCTGGGCATTTACTGCTTCAGGTAATGTGTTTATGATATCATAGAAAAATTAATGCTTACAAACTGACCAAATCAAATTTAATGTGTGATTTTCTTTGAATGCCAGGATTACTAGGAAAGAAGCATAAGATCCTCATGTTTGGTTAGTTTGTTTTCTCTTTTCATGCAATTTTCCTTATTGGTGGTGAACTTGCAAGCAGCATGAAATCTGAAGAACTATTCTCTCCTTTTTTTTGTGTTTTTGGTAAATTTTCCATCATCGAAATGATTCATTTTATTTGTGTAATTTTGATCCATTTCCTGATCTCGGAAAATAAAAAGAAACATGACAAATGTATTGGTAGGATTTTAAATATTTTTTCATACGGAATATTTTGGAATGCTGTAACATATCTTGTTTTTAGAAGGCAATTCCTTTAGCTATTGAAAATCTATCTGGAGAAAAAAGAACTTTGACAATTTATGTAATAAGCTTTGCCTCTATTATTTTATGTTGTGTTAGAACATACCTTGTCATGTTGATATCGTTTAAATTTCACAACAAGCAGGTTTTACCGAGCAAGACATGTGCATGTCATTATATTTGTAGCACTGCCAGATTTCATTTTAGGCATTATCAGGCTATTATATTGATGAGATGTGTCTTGTTCTTTAGCCGGTTCCTTGAAATCGCCTTTATGGCGGACCTTTTAGAGGACTAAAGTACTTAATATTTTCTGGAATCATAGATTGAGATGAGTCGGTTCCTTAATATTTTGTAGAAACAACTGAACTTGTGACTTATTAGAATGAATTAATTAATTCATAGATGAATCTAAGCAGATATATTTTAGTGGATTTATTATTTTATAACGGTGGAAATTAGATTGATCAGAGTGCTTGTGAAATTGTTTTCTCAATTGATACATGTATCGTAATGATTTAATCGTCATAGGAGAGTTTTATTTGGTTTTCATTCAAAATATTATTATGGTGGTGTATAATATACCATGATATGTTTGGGCTAATCTTTAGGAATGTTATTGATGTATTTTTATGCTTGAGAGATTATGTCTCTTGCATTGAGTGACATACTACTAGTGTTTTCAATGGTATCAACGAGTGTAGTTCCTTTGGTGAGATTATGTCCAATACTATACTACTCTAATGGCTGCTTATACTTGTCCAAATCTACTTCTTTTCTTATCCATAACTTGTTATTTAGTTTGTTTTATAACCTTTACCATTTATTATGGAATATATTGAGTTTGCTACTTTCACTATTTGAATGAATATGTTTTGCTACGAACTACACCAATGTCTCCAAATGACAAGCTAGCATGGTGTGAATTTTAATTAAAAAAATTTTTTATCATGATCATTTAACTTTCAAAATTCAGTTAAAAATATTCACTTAATTTTTCTTTGCACAATTGCCCTAGAGGAGGTATTGTTTGTTTTGATTTAAACCCATACTAGACTATGAAAAGTTAAGGAAATTTAGGTCATCACATAACAAAATATATTGCATTAAATATTAAAATTTAATCTTTATTTATAAAACAAAGTATCATTTTCCTCTCATAATATGTAAAGTGGCGCCCTTATTTGTCGTCTCATTGCCAACTCATCATGAGTGGTGTATCATGTTGGCGCACGACACTAACATATAATGATCAAGTCATCATGATAAGTGATGTGTCATGTTGGCGCGCAACATCATATGATGATCTAGTCGTCTATGCATTTTCCAACATTCTATTCCTAAAGCATGCTAATAGAGGAAAAAATATTGCTTCTGGCGAATCCCATACATTGAAAGAGCGGAGGAGAGAGAAAAAAAACTGGTGTATTGCGTTCATTGTCTGGACGCAACTCGCATCCGGATTCTGGACACAACATTTTTTTTGTATTGAAGTCACCCGTGTTGTAAATCAAGTCACCCTTGAGCTTGATTAATTGTATTAAATTCAAGTATGAGTTCAAGCTGGCTCAAGAGTCTGCCTGTTTATTATAAAAGAAAAAAGAAATAATAAGATATCACTTAGTATGTGATAACAAGATTTTTTTTTTGAATTTTAATACATTTTGAGTGTATTTAATATTAATATTTTCTTTAAACTAGCTGGCTAACAAACCAACCAGTCGAGTTAGATTTAGCATGAGCTTGGCTTGTTAGCTCCTCGACCTCAGCTCACGAGCCACTTATCGCAACTTACATCCAATCTCTTTCCTAATCCGTAAAAAAAATTATGTAATTGAAATCTAAATTTTAAATTTAAATAATTAAAATATTACATATAATCTTTCAATTATTTGACACCTAAAAAACCCCAATGGTTAATATAATAAAATACCCCTAGCTTTTGACTTTGATCTTATCCATTGTTTTATTCGGTATATTTCTATTTATATATTTAGATCGGGACTAGTTTATGATATTTATAACATTATTTTATAAACGAAAATGATTAGATCTAAATATTTCTCATATATTTCTATATATTAAATATATATTTCATGTAAATAGGATGTAAATCTTTAATTTTACATTAAAAAAATTATTATTATATTTTTTTCATTTTACAGATTTTCTATTTAAAAATTTTTTGTGTCACTAATTGTTATTTGACAAGAAATTTTTTTTTGAGCGGTATTAATTAAAAAAAAAATAAAATTTAGATGCTATAAATATAAATACAAAAGAATTGGGTGGTATTTATTTAAATATTCCTTTTAATAAAAATGAAAAAAATAGATATAAAGAAAGAATTTCCTCGCATAGAAAAATCTAAAGTAATTCAAAGACAGTGATTGATCAACATGACATCTGCTTCCAAGAATGCATATATGGCATCGAGCATGAATAATCTTTACAGTGACGACAAGGCTCATTATTCAGTGGGCTCGAGATATATCTCATCACATTTAAGAGGACATGGATTTGAAATCATATATTTATATTCCCGACCATCGAAATCTTTTTTTAATTGCAATGAATCATAGAGCTATTAAACCTTATTTTAGGATGAACATAATATATATAAATAGTTAATTATAAACTACTTTTATACAGATCCAAAAACTTGAAAATTTATTAAAAGATGAATTCTTACCAGAAATGTCGACAAAAGCAAAGGGACATTAAACGCCAATTCAAAGCGACCGGCCTGCAACAAGCCCGAGATGGGACCAACACACAAAGTGGCATGGTACTTACGAGATGCATCGAAGCGAGTTCATGGAATCGGCGCAGTCCATCGCGGCGGCGTCGTAATCCCGCTGATTGCGACCGGTTCATACCCGTAATCCATCAGCGGATTTTCCTCCAACTCGTCTTCATGATCGTACACGAATTCTGGCATCTCGATATCGATCCTCCTCGAGTACTCTCCCAGAAATTCCAATCGGCTCACATAACTGAACTTCCCATACAGCCTTACTCAAAGATGCAAAACCAAAAGTTCAAAAACATCTGTGAACAAAACGAAATCAAACAAGATTCCGAATATGTAAATTGATTTTAACTTACCCGGCGCTGAAGAGAAATCGGCCGAATGTAGCGAAGAAGAGACGGGCCCAGAGGCCGGGTTGAACGAAATAAACGACCTCCAGGCTGTCCTTAACGGCGGCAGGCAAAGATTCGTAGATCGATCGGATGAACAAAACGCGGGAAAGTTATCCGGTCGATTAAAGGACGTGTGCACGTACACGATGCAGAACGGCGCCTCTCCGATCTCAGGAAAGATCCTCCTCTCCAAATATTTCTTCAGCGCTTCCTTTCCTTCCGCACCCTTCAAAACCTTAGCTGCCAACCTCGGATCTCTCAATAAGAAATCTCACAAATCGAATAATGAAAACGATTCGATTAGAAATTAGGGATTTACCCGGGAAGAACTTGCCGATGATGCGGAGGATCTTGCGGTCGGGCTTCTCAGGGTGGTCTTGAACCTTGAATACCTCTAGTTTATCGAGAAGAAGGTCGTGCTCCGTCGATGGCAATGCGGAGTTCGTATTGCTGCTGCTCATTGCGGGGAACTTGTGGCTTGAACCTATGAATAATTTTTCGCGAGGAAGAAGGCGAGCGGGGCAGTGGGTTTATATAGGACCAAGAGCGGCGAGAGATCATATCCGCTACGGGCGTGCCAGATTTTAATTGAAAGCTTTACATACATACCTGTCAATTATTACGTATTTACATATATTAAACATATATTTAACTTTTTGATAGATGCTACATTGCTTATAATGAAAATATTTATTTGATGTTTTAAATTAAAAGAATGATGCGGTTATGTAAATATGTAGAAATTGGGTGGCGTGCATGTAAATGCCGCTTTTTTAATTTATCTTTCCATGTAAATGCCCGTTTTTATTTATTTTTCATTGTTACGGGCAAGAAGACGGCGGGTACTTAACACGTGCTAGTAATAGAGTTCTTCCGTTTGGGCCGTTTATGCTTCGGTCCGCTGTAGGTAAACTTATCGGAATCGGTAATTGAACGAATAGGAATCATTCAAGAAGGAATCTGTAAATTTACAGTTCCACGTGGCATATTATTATTTGTCTGTGTCCGTGAAATTTGTTTTACATTTTCCTCGGAGATGCACGACAACAGAAGATTGAAAGTACGGCTCGGAGTCGGTTTATTGGTAGCCAATGAGCGCGCACAGGGATGAGGCGGTGGGCCCCAAAAAAAATATTACTAGGTTCCCGACTCTGAAATTAAAAATTGCCACCAAAATAAATAAATCTTAGGGTTTCTTTGATAAAACTTTATCGGAATGTTTGGGAGGCACAACTGAAATTGTGGAGATCTTTTGTTCTAAAATGGTAGATATATAGGTTTTTTTTTTTCGGAGAGCTCAATGCCTATGTGCTCGATGATTAGCATTGAAACGCTAATTCCAATTCATTGACACCCAAAGTCAACATCACAACATTATCCAAGGCAAGTGTACGAGATAGATTTAGCGTCAAGGCGACACTGCTATCAACGACCAGCCTCTTGGATCATAATACAAAAAAGACAGTTGTGGTGGCAAGAACGTTGAGCCGCAATGTCGTTAGTTGACGTCACAACACCAGATTTGAGTTTCACAACTTAAGTTAGCATCACGGGGCCATAGCTGCAAAAAACTTGGTGAGGTAACCCGACATGATAGTTGTTGAATGCAAAATTTGAAACTTTTTGAGATAGGAGTGATTTTAGGAGTGTGGACAGTTAAAGAGGAGGATGTAGAGAGTTTAAAGAAGATAGGGTAAGAGTCATTTATGTGAGTGGGTGCCTCAATGAGTGTCTGGTGTGAGGAACTCTTTGTATGAAAGTTTGAGTGATTTAGTGTGAGTGAATGCCTACTGTATTTCATCATCATTATTGATTATTTATTCAAATGAATGGAAACTAAGCCCTGGACCAAGATCACAATTGTTGTCATTCACAATTTTGTATGGAGAAGGCCCTCCTCTTTCTCTCTCTTTTCTCACCCCTTATATATGAGAGAGAAAAATCTCCAAATTAATTAGTGTAATATGTATTTTTATTTACTCAAAAGTTTTTCTATAGTATTTTGATGAGAATATTGTGATGTCAATGCTATGTATAGCCAGCTAATTTCAGATATTGTCGATACGAAATCCATCCTTGGTCTATGAGTCATTGAAGCTTGTCTAATCGATCACGATGGTTTTTCGAATTGCTACCCCTATACTCAAAGTTTTTTTATAGTATTTTGATGAAAATATTGTGATGTCAATGCTATGTATAGCCAGCTAATTTCAGATATTGTTGATACGAAATCCATCTCTGGTGCATGAGTCCTTGAAGCTTGTGCTGATCGATCACGATGGTTTCCTCAAATTGCTAACCCCATATAAGTTGGTTATATTATTCTCTAAAGGTGAGAATGATCAGATCCGCTGCTTTAACAAGTTTGCTTGATTCAACCATTTCGGCGGATGAGCTCAATTCAGCCACTTCAGCAGAATGTATCAATTTAGCGAGAGAATTTTTTTTCTGAAAATTCTTCTATATCAATATTTGTGTATACATAAATATCAAATCTCATGTATTTGATAGAAAAATACATAGAAATCATGTATTGTGTACGTAAACTCCTCATAATTTTCATTTCTCTCTAATGCTCTCTCTTAAGAATTATATGCCCCCTGCCTCTCAAATCTGTCTTCAAATTACAAGTACGGCTACAACTTTAATTGTTCAAAATTATATTTCATGTTAACATGCATTGTAGAATTTTTAAATTAGTCATTATTTATCATATTCGTTGAGTGCCCGAAAATTTATAATCATAGAGTAATGAATTAATGTTTTAATGTTTTATGAAAATTCATTACTCTAACCTCAAGACAGGAAAAATAGAGTTATAATTTTACACAAAGAATTACATTTTGATTATACGCTTTAACAAAGAAAATCTTGACAGTCCGATCAAAGTGATTAATATTCATGTATTAATTGCACACAAAACTATATAAATAGTTTCACCCCTCTCATGAGAGAAGGAAAGCTTGAGGGTCGAAGAAAAGATTGAAGCTTTGAGAATAAGTTGAGGTTCAACACCACTCCTGCCGCCATCGCCGACCGTCGACCACAGTCGAGCATCGTTGACCACTATCTACCTCCACTTGTTGGCCACTGTCGATTACCATCGATTGCTGCTCATTCGTTACAACAAAGTCATTTGCATGTCAATGTTGTAATTCAAAAAAACTTTATAGCTTTTTCCCGTCTATAGGAGAAGTAGTCTCTGTAATCAACTTATAGTGGATTTTTACAACTGAGTAAATATTTGTAGTTTTCTTTCTTTACAGATTATCTATACATAAAAACTTTAGTTGTCACTGCTGGTTATTTTCTTTTATTTAAGTGTACGGTGAATTCTTGTACAACGCTAAAACGATAATCATTTACTCTAACGTCGCAAATTTTATAACACGCATTATTTTGACATCGTCTATACGAAGAGCATTCTCGCCACTAAAATACTTGCAAGAATTGTTCCATGGTCAAGTCATTAAACCACAATTGAAAGTTTTATGAGCACATTTGGGAAATCAAATGGATGTCAAATCCATCGGGTTCATAGTTAAATCGAGCATCTCGACAAGATGCATCCAACGAGCCCAAAATCTCTCAATTTTGACATGACTAAGAAACTCAATTATCCATCAAACACTGTATGATCAAATGAAATCTTTAGACCGTTCAATCAAAATAATTCATATTCATGTATTAATTACACACTCGAAACCGTATAAATAGTCTCACCCCTCTCAAGAGATGAGAGGAAGTATGAGGAATGAGAAAGAGCTTGAAGTATAGAGAAAGAGTTGGAGTCCAGTGCAACACTTTCTGTCGTCGAACACTGTTGATCATCATCGATAATTTTAGACTGCCATGAATCACTTCAAACTGTCGTCGACTACCGCCAACCACTGTCGATACTCACTTGCTGGTCATCACCGATCACCATCGATCGTCGCTCATTCCTTACGACAACTTCATCCGTTCGTCGATGATTAATTCAGAAAACTTTATAACCCTATCTAGTCTATGGGATAATGGGTTGCTGCAATTAAATTTATAGTATATTATTACAACTGAACGCGATCCCGTGATTTTCTCTTTATTCGGGTTTTATATAAAAATTTGGGGTCACTAATGATTGTTACATTTTATCTCATTATGTATTGAATATTCATGCTAACGCTAACACGATAATTAATTTCTCTAACATCGTGAATTTTCTAGCACGCATCACTAACATTTAAATTTTAATTATTATGCACATGTTTTTTTAAAAACTAAAAATAGTATTAATTTTTATTTGAAAAGAAAATTTTTTTTAGAGGAATTAATTTTAAAAATAAAATT